TGATGGGGGTCGGTCCGTGCGGCTCGGTAAGCGCAAGTGAGACGGCGGGGAGAGGGGTCTTCGAAACCGTCGCGGCCGTAAGCGAGGCAGCCGATGCCGCTTTCCACAGGCCACAGATTTTGTTCTAACGTTTCTGCTTAGCCAGGATTTCCACCAACTTCTCTGCGTTTCCCTTCCAAGATGTATTTGCCGATTATCCAGCCGCTCAGCTGGGACAGCGTTCTTCGGCTCTCTGTTTTGATTATCAAAAGCAGAACAGATGTAAGAGTGGCTTGTCAAGCTCAGTAATTAGTTTCTTTTAAAGTAACTGACAGCATTTACCTACTTCGGCTGTCCAAGTGTAAACGGTCATGCTTTTAAACTTGGACTTTATTTGGAAGTTCTGTTGGAATTATAAACTGAGGATTTAGAAAATGCGGCCCTTTTGTCTACAGATCTCTGCTTTTCCTCCCGTCTTTGAAGGAAGCTCTTAAGAAACATAATGCTGAGGGGAGTGAGATTTAGACACCCAGCTGAACACTTGAAACTGCCATTGTTAGTGGGAAAAGACCCACTTGTTTCAAGTGAAGTGAAAATATTTTCTAGTTTAGTGTACAAGTAACAAATATAGAATAATGACAGACATCTCTCTATAACGTGTCATCTTTAGGCTGAAATACACTGGAAGAGATAAACAACTAAGTTGTTACTCACTTTGAGAAGAACTCTTAATAGATGCTTCGAGTGCTGGGTCTAATAAATAACTGTTATTCTGGGGGAGTTCTGTGTCATTTTATAGACACTTACAGAAGGTGCTGCTTACCTACTTAATAAATAAATCATTAAGTGTGAATAAAACCAAACAGTATCTGTTAGCAGTTCCTGCTGCCCACAAAGTGAAGGAGTATGTATTGTGACTTGGCTATAATATTCTCTGTTATTAGTCTGAAAATTTCCCACTTTATAAGCAATGATTCTCTCAGTTGATTGGGCATATCTTACAAAGATACTTTACTTACAAATTGAATCTCGGAAGGTTGTGGTTCCAGAGTCGGGGTTTTGGGGGCGAGATGAGCTTATGTTTTATCCAACTGGCCCACAAAGTCCCGCTTTTGGTGGTCACTTTGTTCTGCAAAAGAAACCAGTACGTTATGGCTCTTACAGTGGACATTAAACTCAGTAGTAAAATACTGCTGCACTTACTTAGTAAAAGGCTACTATACACTTTAAATAAATAATAATATTCTAACTTTAATGTCGTCCTCAGTGATAAAAAGTGGATAGAAAATACTATCATTCTGAAAGTTAAACATAAAAAAAAAAGTTTTCTAACTGGTGGTGGTGTTTTTGTCTTAAAAAGCCAGCAAAAGCCAAAAAAAAAGTTATGTTTCAAAGAGTGGCCATTTGATATAGGTGAATTGGGAGAAAAGGAAGTAAGTCCCTTGAAAAGAGAGGCAGATTAAACCTTGAAAACATCCTATAAACACCAGTAACATTTGTATTGTCAATCACCTCCTCAGTTTTTTTTCTCACAAAGTGTTCGGTTTTAATGTATCTCATCAACTAGCTGTTTTTTTACATGTGTGTGTTTGTGTGTCTACATGTGTACAGTCTGTATCTATGAATCAATTTAAAGATTACTAATTTTTGTACTGATAAAAGTTGTAGAATATATTCTTATGAGTAAGGCACTGTAAACCTGAGCTTGGTAGAGCTGTTCACGTTACTGCTTACATTTTGGTATCAATATCCTAAAGAATCTAAGCATATTTTTTACTTAAAAATTATGTAGTTGTACTTTCCTCATGGGATTCTAGTAAGTGTTGAAGATTTGTTAGTAGATAAGCTGAACTTTCTTGTGGTTTCTGAATATACCGTACATGTATTTAAGACTGAATGAAATACATTGCAGTCACACAATATAATTTATAGAATGGCTCATGTATACAGCATACGCACACAAAATACATACAGGAGCATCCTCTCAGTTGGTGTAAACGCGTCTGTCATAGTTTTGACATTTTATGCCAGCTAATCACCTGCTTAAGTTACACATAAACATCTAGACGTTCACATTGTGGTCACATTATCATTGCAGTCAGATTAATTTTAAGTGCTGACCTACTCAGGCTGAATCAATTCGAGTATTTCAAAAAGGCCTGGAAATTCAGCTGAAGTTAGACAGCAATACACTGTTAAAGCAAAGTTGTT